GCCGCTTTGCGCGTTTCTGGTTTCCTGGTAAGCTGATTCTGATTTTCAGCTGAACAGCAAACGTTGGTCAGGGAGACTCGTCTGCATTCCGCATTGTCTGGAATTCGTTCGGAAGCTATCGAGCCAAACACCGTGTTCTGCATAGTAGGTCCGTCATTCGTCGCTTTTTGTCGCTCGTTGCAAAGCAGGCCAGGGTAGTACTCAGCTCCGATGGATATTCCATTGCAATGGATCGATGGCGGCAGTGGGTAACGATACAGTCAGCGTTGGCAGAATATGAACCTTCATCTCTTCGGCATACTGCGATATATGGCTGGACCTGGGACCTACTAGAGCAGTAGCTGCTGTGGTGGATATTGAATGGGATGATCCAATTCCTTGGACCGACAGATGTGAGAAGCGTTCTCGGAACTTCAGTTTGTTCGAGAAGCCTTTGGTCATTAAACAGTGCTGAGAACACGAGTCGAGCAATGCCCGTGATAGCATCGAATTCCCAAATCGATCTTGGCTTTTGACAAGCACCGTTGACAGGAGTATGGTTTTTGTGGGAGTGGGGAACGGAGGATCGTATTTCTCCACCATGCAACATGGAGTGGTCCTATTGGTGGCATTCATTCCTCTCAGCAACCTTCATTCGCAAGAATGCCGCACAATTAAATGCAGAATGCCACGTCTCGTTACAGAAAGGGCATCCTCTAGCTGATTTGACGACGGTATGGCAGATTGCTGGCTTCGATGAACGATTTGCTGATTATCTTCGTGGATGAATTTCGTTGGAGCTATCGATTGAAGTATGATTGCGAAGAAAACTGATCAGAATCTTGTACGTAGGAACATCATTGCAAATATGATGAGTTACCCAGTTCCTCAAGGTAGCAGAACCCAGGCGACTGCATACCATGTGTGCCAAGATAGTACTCCACTATGATGTCTTCTCATCTTTCTTTTCCAACTCGCTTATGAGATGGTTCAGCCCGTCGTTGCTCTCCCTTCAGAGCCCTTCCACTGCAAAAAGTGCGTCGATGTGAGCCTTCACGATTCAGTTTCTTATTCTCGTAGCGGGTTTGCAATGCTTCCCACGCTACAGTGTAGTTTACAGCGGAGAGCTCTACTGAATCGATCTCCTGCAGCGCTTCTCCAGATAGAGATGAACGCAGATAGTTGAACTTGTCTATCTCCATCAGCTGGGTATTTAAGTCGATGAGGCTACAAAAACTATTCTGGAAGGGGACCCATTCCAGAATGTTTCCGCTGAACTTCGGAAGCCTGACCTCCGGGAGTTTGACCTTCTGGAAGCCACTTGCTGATGAGCTATTTGCTGTCAAATCTCGAGATGCAGATTTTTTATCCATCATTTCGAGAAGATCCGCTTTTATGCCACATTATGATCTTCGAAGTCACTGATAGCCTTTTTGACGTAGGACTACGTCTGTGATTTCTATATGGAGCTACACTTTGTGAACACCGAAAATGGAACATGCAACAAAACTATGAAAGATTTTGAACGTTAATAACTCAGCTGCTCCTGGACCAATTTCAATAATTTTATCACCAATCGATCAGAAATATTTAGACGCATCTGTCAAATCTAAGACTTTATCGTTTTTCAAAATGTCACTTTTGAAAGTTACACAAATGAAAATTATCACCGATAGCCTGCGAAAAGCAATTTCCCTAACACAGATTTCAAAGTTGAATTCCATCTGGTCTCACCAAACGGTGTTTATTCAATCACCGCGTGGTGAGTGGTGGTGTTCTCCAGTACACAACGAAAGGCTGCCTGCAAGCAGCGAGCTGCAGCCCACATGAGCATCCATAGAAGGAGGAAGAAGTCGCACCGCTATTGATCGGAATCAGTAGCTCTTCGTGAGTCATTGTGGGCCATCTATGTCAAGCGCGTCATACTAAAGAGTATAAGTAGAGAGAACCCCGCTCAAATTCTATTCTTCAATTCCAATTCAATTCCCACACAAAACACAAGCTCCTGATGCAGTTAACAAATAAGATATATTATATAAGCCCACCTTTGCGTACAACCCCATAGGGCTGTCCCTTGTAGTTTTATTCCTTTCGATCTGGTCATCGTCCGTCTTCATCTCTGAATCCTCGCTTGGGTCGATCTCATCCAGTAGAGGCTTGATCTTACTCCGGACCTCGAAATACTCCTTGTAAACCGCTTCTAGAACTTGAAGCCGAACTCCAGCTTTCCTTTCATATTTGGATCATAGTTCTGCACAAACCGCTCAATCCCTTCCAAGGAGTTCAACACAGTGGTGAGAACAGTGCAATAAATTGCTGTCGGCACAAAAGTTACTCCCAACAGTTTTTGTCCACAGTACTTGTGTCCGATTTCTGCGTCTTAAAAGTATCCAACTAATCCGGCTCGAAGGACCAAATGTTCGTGCGTAAAACCGACTTTTCGGACACAACACAGTATAATCACGTTTACAGTATAACGCGAACACTACCACTAAAATTTATTGCGGATAATCAAACACGCTCCCAGTGTTCACTCGCCTGTCGACAAAAGCAAGCCACTCTCGTTGTGTGCCACGCGATCGTCTGTTTTCTCGGCAGCAACCATTGTGTGGTCCTCCTTATTGTTCTTCATCAGCAGTTGTTTCGGTCGATGCATCGTCGACTTTGGAAAGCAACCGTTTAGTGATGAGTGTGTGAGTGCTGACCACGTTTTGCGTCCATTGCTGCAATGGAAGCGCTCTGACCCCTGTTGGCGTAACTGCCATACAATGAAACCACTGGAAGCGGCTCCAGTTCTAATGGAGGAGGCTTATTGGATAGCGGAAGTTGTACCTTTTGACTATAGGTTTAAGATGTATTGTATAGTGACCAAGAATCCTCGGCTCTGTAAAGTTATTTCGTTTGAGCCTTATCAAATAAATTAATGAGCAACAAACGCGCTCCGATGATGTGTAAAGCGCGACGGTTTATTTTACTCTCTTCTTCTACAGCTGATTCTGTTTACGGTTGACCGTTTGATTTCTCGGGAGTCGATCGGAGAAAAAGGACTATTCGCACATGATCACTGCATCTTTGTGATAGGGAGAACAAAGGGGACTGATAACGTGTATGCATTCTAGTGGAACGAATATAGCCCACTGATAATGTGGAACCTATTTGGTCGCTCAACGTTCGTTCGATCCCTAACGTTCTATCTTGCTTCAACAATGTTCATGAATAATGAACATTTGGTGTTAAGTTTTAGTAAACATTGCCTCGCTCTCCTGTCAAATTTTCATCAGTGCACGAACTCAAATACATCGGTGGACTTGTCTATGTCTCTCTTACTAGTTAATTATCATGCTAGATCTCCTATGTCGTTCAAGTTTTTTTAGATCCATTAATTCCCTTTGCTTTTTTTCGGCTCCTAAAGAACTACCATTCTTTTTTTAAAAAACGGTCGTTAATTGGTTCATTTAGAAGAACTAGTTCTTAAGAACCGTTCGTGACACTGCCCATCTCTAGCGTGATTCGAGAGGGAGAGGCGTAGCAGTAGGGTTAGTTATCGAAAAAAAGTAAGACATATGTTTGAAATTTAAGTTTTTTTAATGGATTTCAGGATTAGGCTTAATTTTAGCTCATAATTTTTTTTTACGAGATGAACTAGCCAATGAGCTAAAATTCTCGCTAATAAAGCCTTTTAAAAAAAAGCTCATACATTTTCAGAGACAAGGAGCGAAGTATTGAAAGCTTGTACTGCCCTAATTTTATCGTTGATAGATATTATCGAAATCCTTTTTATAGACATTGAACGATTTACTCGAGGCTGTTTCTGTCAATGAGGCAAATTTTGCTAAATACCTCGACTAAGAACGAATTACCTAGAGCTTGAACTGCCCTTAACTGTTGAACAAGTATTTAAAAAAAAAAGTTTTTTTTTTATTGACAAAAGCGATATAGGAATTTGAAACAACTTGATAGTCAAAATGGTCTTCTCACCTGCCGAAAATATTTTGTCTATCATACTGAAATTGGTGGAATCGGTCTTATGTTATGTACTATTCAGATAAAAATCATTGATGTTATGTGCGTTCCTAACAGAAAATACGTGAAAACTTTTTTCAGTGTAGAGCAATAAGCAAATATGCAATCCACTCTGGAAGCTTCCGCCTTTAAACGGTTTACACCTAGAATCGATCATCACAGGAAATAATTTGAAACTATCCCTCCAACACGTGTTACTGCCCAAGAAGCGAAGCTTCGGTTCTGACATTCCAAAGCCTGAGCTTGAGCTTGGACTGGGATGCCATAATTTAACGCTCAACATCCGGGGAAACAATTAATTAGCCAGGAAACGTGTTAATTTACCACCCATTACGTCCTTGGTCTTATGAATGCTGAACAATCCGCTTTCATTTTCCTCGACCGTTTCCTTTCCCTTCCCCATGAAACTAAAGTAGGAAAACGGTATCCCATAATTTATTTCCCTCCTCCCAGTGTTGTTGACCGACGGCTTGTCGAATGGACGGAACCCATTTGGCGATGGAAACATTAGCATAACTATCAATAAGGCCTACCGGATCCCCATAAAGGCAAATAGCCAATTGCCGTTCTCGGTCTCTGATTGCATTCTTTCATCTCGTCGGTTGGACCAACCACAGAGATGAACCCGATAATCATCATCATCTTCATCATGATTATCATCATCATCATCCGAGAACCAGCATGGGCGAGACATAGTGTGGCAATGACGTCGTCATCAATATTCATCTCATTCAGGAACGGGGTCCCGCTGTGAGCGCGCTAGGTCGTCCTTCGACATAACCGCAACAAAGCCCTCTCTATCTCTCTCTCTCTCTCTCTCTCTGCACTACAATCGAAACCACAATCCAACCCAACAAAAAAAAAAGAATGAAATTTCGATTATCCATGGCTGCTATCTGTTACAGCCTCGAGTCGGCTTCCGCCGAGCATAAATGTGTGTATCAATTTTGAGGTTAGGTTATTAACTGGTTGCTTTTATCTGTCTGTTTCCGTTTCAGAACCTGTCGCTGCCACCGAACGTCGATCCGAGCACCTCGGACGACAGTGGCCGGGCTTCGGAGCGGCTGACCGCGTCGTCGGTGGCCCAGCGGGATCCGGACAGCTCCCGGGACCGGCTGAGCGACGCCAGCAGTCGGTGCAGTTCCGGCAAAGGATATATCTGTGATAGCGAGGGAGACGATGATAAGGTAAGTTTATGTTTTTTTTAAGGAAGCGATAAGCTGCCGCCATCTGTTGGAAACTAGCCGCCGCAAAACATCATAACTTTTGCCTTTTGATGATGATGAGAGGGTTGCTATTTCTTCACCTCATTCGACGAATGGGCTTCCGCTTTGGCTTCATCATCGGTCGAACGACGGCAAAGCAAGATCCGTAAATGTGTGAGAATCGACCACAAATGACCGGGATCGGGGAGGCTCCATTGAACCGGAACGAAACGGCAAAGAAGGGACGGACGGACGGACGGACGGGTGCAAACCAATGGAATGCTTTTCTTTGCCTTTGCGCCTCTTTGCTATCGCTTTTATGTTTCTGGCTTTGAAGCTTTCTTCCTTGGCCAGACCCGACCCGACGATGACTGCTGCTGCTGCTGCTGCTGCTGTTGCCGGTGCTGCTCGTTTCGGTTTTCGGCCGCAACCACCGAGAAGAGATAATAAAATCACTTTAGGGCTTACTTTCCACTCCCAGCCCAGGCTATTCGGTATCTCCGTGGCCGTGTCTCTTCATTTCACTTCGTTGCGGTTAATTTGATCGAATCTCCGGCTGGAAAAGCTTTTCAATTTAGGACGAATCTTGAGAACGATGGTTGAACGTTTTATGTACTTTTTTTTTTGTGGCTCACTAGGGACACCTTCCCGGTGGTGGTTTTTGATCGTTTAAAGTGTCGTTCCCGGTCTCTGGGTTTGCAGTCGTTTTCACTAGTTAAATTTTATAATAAGAGACTATAATGCGGAACATCCGGTACCGTTGTTGGTTGTATAATTTGACATGAGAATCAGCAAAAAATACTAAGAACTGTTTCCGAAACATAGAGGCAATCCCTAGCCGAAGTTCTCATTAATATATTCGCGAAAGATTTTGAGATTAATTTTCCAGGAACTCTATTCAAAATTTGGTATGAATTTTACATTCTACATTTTCCAGAGTACTCCCATGAATGTTCAAAGGACTTCCAGAGGAAATTAGTGAAGGTTCTATGTGAGGGTTATAACAAAAAAGGCCTGAACTTACCGCGAGGAAATGTCAGTGAAATTACGGCCCAAATAACTTTAAATGGAATTCCGGTGTGAGTTTTCTGGAAGTTTGAAAGGCTAACCTTTAGAACTTTTTTGTAAATAAATTTGAAAGATATTTGGGTTTTAGATTTGGATGACTTTGAGTGAGGGATGGAATAGTATTTTTGAGAAAATTTCTTGAAGAATTTATTAGGTGATTGTGGAGAAAGTCAAAGAATTCCACCGTTCCGATTAAGTTAAGTCATCAACCGCAATTGTTGCAGACAAACTTTCAAACAATGTTATCTTTGTAACATGCCCTTACTGATCACCAATTATTATTTGGCTCGTATGTCGCATGTCGTTTTGTCATGATGAAGTCATTTTTGATTCCCTGGTTACATCATGATCAGCAAAACAAACTGCGGCATAGTTTTTCAGATAATCAAAGAATTTAGATGTATAGAGTACATCTCTAGATCCTGACCAGGTGTGAAGTTGCTTTTTTTTCGGAAGAGTTGTTCAGATAGCCAATTTTTTTAATAATCATGCTACCATGCTTCTGCGTTTATTTTCCTTAAGATGTCACTGCTGTTCTTAATGGTGACATCTATCAGAAATTACGCATAAACGTAGTTCCGTTAATTGTTAAGAGAGGGCAGTGCAGTCAAAACATGTATGATACCTCTATATATGCAGCTATATTAAAATCTGAAGTCTCTCCTTTTTAACATATTCTGCACAAAAATACTTTCTAACCCCGTTTCTGACAGGATTTCCCGCCGTTTTTTATGAATAGGGTGAGACAGAACGTACATTTTGTGCAGAATATGTAAAAAAGGAGGGGCTTCGGATGTTAATCTAAATGCATATATAGAGGTATCAGACATGTTTTGCAAAGTTAGGTACTCTATTTTGAAGTCTGTGAGAGGGAAATCACAACTAGAGTGTCATCCAAATACATGGCATGGTGAGAGATAGAGATCGTGAGAGCGAATTTTCTCTTTCAAATTTGATTTTTTTTTCTCTTGTGACTGGTAGTAAAGCGGGTAAATCTGTATAAGGAAAAATCATTTTTATTGAATTTTAGCTTTTTTAATAATAATTTCCGTGAAATAAGTTAACGACAAAGTCCTTTCATATTTTCTTTAGGCTGTCGATATGATTAATTGAGAGTAGATTAGATCAAAATTCTGCCCCTATGTGGTGATAGTGAGCATGCAAAATTTCAAAGTGAGTGATATCTCTAGATCTTGACTATCTGGGAAGTTGCTACCTTCGGAAAAGTTGTTGTTACCATTCAATATATAATAATTCAGAATTCTGCCACTATGCGATGCTTGTGTACATGTGAAACTGCGATGTTTCCTATATTTCTTGATCCTGACCAGTGCTGGTAAATATCACGGCCGCCACGTGAATATTAGAAAACAGGTTCTCTCACTATCTTGAGACGAAGCTACCTATCATGAACTTTCTTATCATTATCCAATAATCAAACACTCGTGAGAATAATTCTCAAACGGTTTTTAAATCAAAGATTCCTAATGATGTAGAGACTTTTAAGCAAGCAGCAATGTGTAATTGGTAAAGTGAATATATTTTTAAGATTTTCGTGGTGCAAGTAACAATAGAATCAATAAATGAGCTAGTAGTTACAATGTTCACAACAGTGTCACGTTCTGTCATGACAAAAAATTCGATGAGATTTTAAAGAAAATCTCTATCATCGTTTTCTCATCCGATGATAGAGACAGAAGTATCTCTGTAAAAATCGCGTTAAATCTTTCATTGAAAATGACATTTGCCAGCCCTGATCCTGACTATCTGGGAAATTTTTATCTTCGGCGCTAGCGACTAAACGGACTTTCTTAATATGATTTATTTCAAGATTCTGATCATCTTGGAAGTTGCTGTTGCCGGCAAAAATGTTTAAGTTACCTAGGTCTTCTGGATGGTGGATGGGCAAGTTTAAATTTTGTGAATTTTGAACTGATAGGCTAACCATGTAGAGAGCGTTGATTACTGCAACAAATTTTCCAACGACAGCAACTTCCTAGGTGGTTAGAATCTCGAGATATAGCACAGTTTGGTAGTTCATATAGACAATAGCGCTGCGTGGTGAGTGATTTTTTATCAAATGTACTGACAATGTAGAAGGCCTTGGCTATCTGAAGAACTTTGCCAAAGACAGCAACTTTGTAGATAGTCAGGATCTCGAGATACAGCATAAACTGGAACTTCACATGTACACTAGTACCCCGTAGTGGCAGATCTCTGAACTTATCAGTTCACCACTTGAAAGGCTCTAGTTGTCGATGTCAGCATCTTCCTAGAAGGTTAGGATCTCGAGTTATAGCATGTAATTGAAGTTTTCAAGCATAGAAGCGCCGCATAGAGGGAGAATAATTAACTAACCAGCAGGGAATCAAGAAAATATTCCGATGCTTACCGACGTTAAAAACACTAGTAAACGGAATCATGATCATGGCACATCCGAGATCATGGATTACCATTTCTATTACACATCATGATCAGCAACAAAAACGATAACCCACCCACTGATATGATAACAATCACTGGGTAATGTGTTCTCAAAATCTAGGAACTTGCTGTGTTCGGCAAAGTTGTTCTGGAGGTCAAATACCCTACAATATGGACATTTTCGGAACCGGAATGACATGTAGATGTCGAAAATCATGTTCTCCGCTATTTTCGAATTCAATATGGCGGCCGTTGGTTGCTGAAATACTGTAAAATGTCATACAATACGCGAATTTTTGAACCGATATCGATATCCGTCATTATTTTAGAATCCAAGAGAGTGGCCATTGGTTTTAGAAGAAAAAAAAAACTGTCAAATAAATTAGGCAAAATGTCGGCAATCGGTGATTTTCGACATCTACACGTCATTTCGGTTCCAAAAATACCCATATTGTAGGATATTTGACAGTTTTTCTGCAACCAATGGCCATCATTTTTCTACATCTGCATATCATTCCTGTTCTAAAAATATCCACATTGCAGGATATTTTACAGTTTTTTTTTAAATCGTTGGCCACCATCTTTGATTTAAAAATGGCGGCGTACATCGATTTTCGATCTCATCCCCGTTCTGAAAATATCCATATTGATTTTTCTAGTCTTATATGGGGTATTTTAAGTAACGACAGTTGATGATGATGATCGAAGATTATCGCTATTTCATATGATCATGATCTGTAATCAGGTGCGTCGCGTCCACATGTGCAACCTGTGCACGACACAGGTGTACATAATTATGCGTTTAGATTTTTATAGATTTGATGGTCACATTATAGCTGTATTTCTTTACGCCAGACCACAAGTGACCATGAATACACTATTTTATAGTGTGGCTCAATTAACTCTTCGACCTTGATTTGCTTCAAAAAGGATTCAGTTCAGTTCGGATGGTCTGCCTAATCCCCAATGCATTGATTTCTAAGCATGTCGATATCACTGCCATGACAAAACTCGTTAAATAGTGCACCTAAAAGCGAGCTCTTTTGGGTGCCGGGCGGGCGGCTAGTTTGTGAATGGTTAAATGCCTGATGTAAGCCAAGCAGACCTTCCATAACCACTTGAAACATACCACAAATTTCCCATAATACATGGCGGTTTGCACCACTAGTTGTAATTGAAACGGAAATTGCAACACGGAAACAGCAGTCTGGTACGCTTTGGACGTGTATCATATTTGCAGACCGGTTTAAATGTGTGAGTTTAAATTAGAAGAACATTTGTGATGTATGGGTGCCTAAAGTGTGCATTTCTTTCTGTGCACTTGGATATCTGATTACAGGCAAAGAGAGTAATAGAGAAAGAGAGCGTAAAAGCTCGTTCTCATTCTCTTGTCAGTTGTAAATCTCTCAATTACCGATGGTTGCGGCGTTGCGCCGGTGCGCCTGTCAAAACTTATGAGCTTCCCCTGGTTCATTCTGATAGTATTGTTC